ATTAACATTCAGGAATCTAATTTACTTTTAAATTTGCTCAGGCTTTGAGGAAAGGGATCGAAGATTGACAAAGACAAACCGTTCCAGTCTCTAATAGTTCGATTCGCGAATTAATATTTCCCAACGTCCATTTTCTGATTTCTTGTCTGAATTTTTTTGCATGATCCGCTCTGCCGAAATATGTAGGTTTCCCTGATCGACTTTGAATTCCTTTCCACGCTCGAAGGCCTGTGTACGCTTTATACATTGCATAGGCACGTGACTTTAATCTCCTCCTTTCGAGTGACTCCCATACCCCGTTAATCGTGCGCAAATGGTGCGAAGGGTAATACATCAGAGGTGAAAAACGGAGAATGAAGAGCAATTCGTTGGTTGGCTTGTCTGCCAATTGCGCTGGCGCCTCCCCTCCCCTCCCCTCCCCTCCCCTCCTCCCCTCCGACGGCGGCCGCGGCGGAGCGCGCGGTCAATCGATGAGTCCGTTGGCGACATCTCCAAAAGTGTTTAGTGCCGTAAGTGTGGTACATCTTTTTATCGTGGGAGGTGGCGGTGTTCTTAACCCGCTGAATGCCGAGATCGACACGAACCTGTATGTTGAATTACGAGTTTTTCCCAACCAGGTATCTCCGTCGGGAGAGCAGTCTGGCCCGCCCCAGCCTGACTGCACTCCCGAATGTGTGGATTTCTAGTGCATGTTAGTGTAAGTGTGTGTAAGTGTATGAAAGAGGTGATGATAGGTCTTGAAAGAGGAAGGAAAGATCGCCCGCGGTCCGCGGCCCGTCTGTTAAGGTACTACTCTGGCATTCGCCTGGTGTTGAACGGCGAAAAACACAAGACTATCGATCAGAACAGCTGGCCGCTAGAATTCTTCTCCAGACAGCGACTGACGTCGTCCTAGCGAAGTAGCTAGTGTCGAATATCCTGCTCCCGTCGGGATTCTGTCCCTACAATCTTCGGTCAGAGGCAATGCAGTAGCATCAGGTGATGCCCTGAGGCCAAAGGAAGCCACGCACCCCACTCCCCCGAGCCATCCGTTTAATGGTTCGGCCCCGACTATTCCGAGGGACGAAGCTCGCGTAATGTTCTGTCCGATTGCACTTAGCCCTCCTCGGTTAAAAATTCGCCAGGTATGTGCTCGTATCGGTACGTATCAACGATAGGAATTTTAATAGTTTTTTTTTTTTTCTATCGCCAACCCTACCTCAGGTTTAGCGTACATACGGTTAGCGTGCCGGACTGTTGTACCCAAGTTGGCGGATTCAAACCCGATCGAAGCCTTCGTACGCCTTCCTTCGAAGGGAAAGTAAAGCCAGTTGTCCCATGTTAGTAAACTTTGTTAGTTTACTCTGCATGTAAAAGATCAAGCCTAAATGACGCCTCTGATCTAAATTGAAATCGCCTGTTTCTCGCCCAAGAAATACCTCCTTTCTCTGCTACTTGGTGAAAGGAGCGTAGCGAAATTTGCGTGGTCAGACGGAAGAGCAGGCCTCATGGCCCGAGTCTTGCTACGTAAAATAAGGCATCAATTCAATTCAATGCGTCAGGCACTTGGCATTTTTAAGCGTACGTTTGTCAATATGAAAGTGCGCATGCAGCTCTTTTCATTCGGTGCGGCGGGGGGCCGTTGCGAGGGGGGGGGTGTCGGAGCGAGCGAGTCCCCTCCCCTCCCCTCCCCCCCCCCACACGCGCGCGCGCGCAGGAGGAGGTTGAGACGTGTTACGGCCGACCTGCAGGTGGCAAATGAGGCCTGTCAGTTGAGAGAGTTCAAATACAGTGAGCGCGGGGGGGGGGGTATTAATTCGAATTGTTTCCGCCTCGAATCTTCATCGACATTTATTCTTCTTGGCATATCCCTCTGCCGGGACGAGCTTTGAAGCTCCCGACTAGTGTCGCCTGTGTAAGGGGAAAGGATTTATCAGGGAATAGGAAAGACGGTTTTCATCCCATTTTTAACGTATTGCTCAGTTCACCTGGTATTTATGTGAAAAATCACAGAAAACTACCATATCAGAGTATCCGGCCCCCAGAGCTGTTCAGACAATAGCTGAATGTGTTCTAGCAACGTAACGTGTCGAAAATTTGCCACTCTCGCGACTCGAACTTAGAACCTCTCGGTCAGAGGTACTGCAGAGACATCAGTTGATACCCAGAGCACTCTCAGCCGGTAAGATAGTTTCCATAGTATATTTATGGAATGGATTTATGGAAGTTCACAACACTTGCGGCGTAGCTAGGGATCAAACCTGGTTGGGCCTCCGGACGTCTTAGGTTCCTTGCTAGACGGAACCCTCTCACAATCATGAGCCAGAATCCCGCAAGAAATATTTTTTACGAGGTTTCAGTTTGTCGGTCATTTCAGTTTGTGTAATTTTCAAAGAGAAATTTTCTGATGCATTTTTCATGGAGCGCCTGGCGCAGTGCAGGCGCAGTGAGCCTTGCGCGCTCGCAGAAGCTGCTCTAGGGGCCAACAGATCCAGTTGGTTGTCAACTGGGATCGCTTTCAACCTCATTGCCAGGTCTAAGAAAACTCAAATGTCTAAACATATAAGAAAGGGAAAGCACTTGCTTCGTCTTCTTCATAGGGGCCCGCAGCCGTCGCAGAATCGCACTGAAGATGGCGGCTATGTGGCCGAGAAGGTTTTATGCTGAATTAAGCGTATATGACAAAATTACGCCTCATAATTACCTTCATAATATTGCTGGCATAAAATTCACACTATTTCGTACTAAAAAAGTCAGAGTTCGTTTTGCAAACATGCGCTGGGAAAGTGACTCTGATACGAGGAAAAGCCTGAATGTTCAATTGAATTTTTCTTGTATATAGAACTTATTTGAAAATTAATCGCGTTATTAAATCGACACGACATGTCTCTATATGAATGAAAATTAAACTTGGAGTAAAATTGAAATAAAGTGCCTCGTTTATTTCATTCTTTACCAAAACGTGTAATTTCCAGTTTACTTCATTATTAATATTGATTTGTATTCATGTTTTATAGTAATGGTAAAAAACTGTCTCATGTCTTAAAAAAAGTAAAATTTACAGGGGGAAGCAAATTCTACCTGAAAATATTATTAAAAGGACTACGTTATTGCGTGCATTATTTCAGACATTTGTCCTCATTTCACTGATATGACTTTCGTACGTGTCATCTAAATTGTCCACGAGAATCGCAGATGCGGTGAGACTCACGGGATCCTTAAACGAATATCCCTCGGATCTTTTCATTAACATTCAGTATATAATGTAATAAACCTAGAAAAAATAGGCTTCCAGTGTTTTTAAAGAAAGTCGACTAACTGCTGATCTATTAAAGTGTCTGCTTGTATGACTACTATTATCTTGTATTCTCGGTGTATAAAGTGATTGAATACCATTTAAACAAAAAGCCATTACTACGTATCTTCAAAACGCGAAATTTTGAAATGGAGATTCCCTATAAAAAGGTACACAACCATGAAGAAAATATTTTTCTCCAATAGTTGTGTGCCAGTGTGACGTCGTTGTTAAACCATTAGCTGGTAGGAGGCTCCCGTTTGCCCTGTTGGCGGCATTGACTGGTCTGCGCGCCCGTGGGCGAGGGCGAGGGCGTTCCCGCGAGGCGATCCGGCGACAGCGCTACACGGCTGGCCCACGCCCTCCCTGGGGCGGCCGCGCACTAGGGACGGGACGGTCGTCCCAAAGAAGGGAACTGTTAAATGTATTGAGGGTTTCCAATTCACTTTTTACGATAAATTATTAGTTAGTACAAGACTTTTGGAACATTATACAAGGATAAAACGTGCTTCCATGTGCACATTTCCATTCATTTCATTCTTTCGGAAACGTCGGAAGCGTTTCGATATGTTATTGTCGATTGAGCTATTTTTCACTGAAACATTTGAGGTTTGAGACCGAAAAAAATATACTTTTAATTTTGGTAAATTACGAGAATTCAACAAAATATGACTTTTAAATATGACGTTTATACTCGTACTGTGTTCTATCTAATAAAAAAGTTAATCAAAATAATTTGAAGCCACTGTTTAAAAAAATTGACTTACACAATCGTTTCTATTTCTTCACAGGATATCCGTATTGGCGGGACTTTTTTCACAGAGTGTACTCTAAATGACTCAATCTCCGACAACGTGTCTTTTACAGACACTGAAACAGTCTCGCCTCGTAGTTTTACTTTAGTAGATCTGGGACGAAACGTCTCTTGGTTGAGGGGCAATCGGCCCGTTACGTGGACTTAATGTGGAGCCATTTGGAATAATATCTCCTTGGAGGGCGACTCTCTGCCATTTCCTTGGAGGCTGAGCAGAGAGATGTTCGGGAGGAGGCGACGTTTCTCTTTGATGTACTGCGGTGTGGGACATAAACTCACAATCATCTTGCCCCGAATTTCTTAAACGTCTAGTAAAATCTTTAACATTTCAAAAGCAGCAATTTTAAACTCATTTCGGGTTCTTGAAGGCGTGGTTTAAATAGTATACTTTCTGGAAATAGAATATTTAAAGTATTAAAGTATGAACACGTCACTGCGCGTCTTTTGTTAAGTAAATTATTTCTTCGAGTAGCTAAGTGAAACATCTTGACTTAATTGATGACATCCTTCTGCCGAGTATTTGATCTTTGATTATTAATAGGCTGCAGATAAACACGTGTCCCGCGTTGAAGGGGGGGGAGGTGGCGCTCCGACTAGGAAAAACAAAGGGGGGGGGAATAGCGTGGAATATCGCACAGCGTGGGCGCGAGTTGAGTTGTGTGTCCCTGGGGGCCTCGCGCGAGGAAGAACAGCGACCTGCGACTGCTTCGACGCTCCCGCCCCCGTATAAGAAAACCCATCTCATTGTTCCATAGTGTACTAATACGTGAATAAAACAATCCTTCTTTTGGAGTGTTTTTCGACTTCCACGTTTTGCTGTCCGAAGATCATACATGTATATGGTGGCAGCCGTGTGTGATAAGGATCTTTCAAGCAAAGACCGAGCGATCTCTCCGGAATCTCGAGTGCAGCATGGAAGAGAGTGGGGAGGAAACACCAACAGAGCCAAGGCGCATCGTCGGCGCACTCTCAGCCACAGCAAACAAGGCGGCGCTCGCAGCGCCCCTGGCGGCGGGCGCGCGCGAAACACCTGCGCAGCCAACAAGTGGCGCCGACTTCCACAATGCGCGCCCCGCGCCACCTTTGCCCCCCCAACGCTACTTAGGCTACTGCAGCTTCGAGCTCTTCGGCCGCTCGCGCTGTTCCTTTCCACAGCAGCCTCTGCAAGTCCACCCAGTCTTTCGCTTCCATTCTGCACTTCTGCACGCACTGCGCTCTTATTTGTTGTGTCGCAGATTAAATTTAATCAATATTAAAATCAATGATTGTATGAACATTACATTTCGTATTGTGTCTAGTTTCAATTATTCAATTAATGTCACGAGATAAATGCAATGTGTGTTTTTATTACTGTATGCAAATGGCCATTTGCACAGGACAGTACCTCGTCGTCTGATTTGGTTAAGTTCCTATACTGTTTAGTGGTTGTAATTTGATATTTTTTATTGACTGCTCTTCTTGAAATGTGTTGAAGAAAATTAATGACAGTATTTTTTATGTTTTAATATTCTATTTTTGAAAGTATTTCAATTCCAGATGATTCAACATCTATTTGTACATCTGCGTCTATGATCCTACGTTTCACAGAAAGCACTAGCGCAGTATTCATGTTTATTGGTACTTATCCTTCTGTTTTTTAATAGAAGTAGTAGTAACAGTTTCAGTATTTTTCAAGAACTGCCCGTTTGCATGTTTTTCTTTAATAATATGTACAGAACCAGCCTGTTCTATTTACAATTCTCTGTCCAGAAACATTATATATTCAATATGAATGCATGATTCACACACACTCGTTTATCACTTACCGAAATAAAACATCATATTGTGATAACTTCTTGATTTTTTTTTTCTTGAGGTTCTTTATATATCCCAAAACGCTGAAATAATACAAATAGTTTTCATTTTATTCCAAAGAGTGGCGATGTCCAACGTTTTACGACAGATCAAAGAGCGTTACTCTTACGTGATTACTCTTTTCTTGTTCTGAACGAGATTACTGTGTTGAAGTAACGTCGCTGAATTCCAGTGTGGATGCTGGAATTCAGCGACGTTGTGGAAATGCTGGAATTCAGCGACGTTACTTCAACACAGTAATCTCGTTTTTCTCTTCTTTCTTTCTTCAGAAATTGTAGGTGCACTTCGAAATGGTCCACGTAACAGCTCCTAAAAATAGCATTTAAAGTATATCGTGTGATGAGTCCAATAAGAAGTTTCTTAGAAAGGAGTTCACACTTTATAAATGAAGCTTCATTGCATCTGTGCATGATGTTTTTGAATATGCTCTTAATTCACCATCTGTCGAACCTTCGTTGATATAAAAGGAAAATGTTTGGATAATTGTCCCTCTCAGAAGGCTTCGCTTAAATCGCTGGCCGTTGCTGAGGTGACTCTGCCGGCGCCCCGCCGTAGCCGGCCTCTGGCGGGCGAGAGCGCGTGATGGCTTCGTTGAGGCCGGCGCATGAAACCCGAGACATTTTGTGCATTATTCTGAAGGTGAAGCTCCTGTTAAAAATACGTTCTGTTTAATAATACGCAATTTATTTATGGGTAAAATAAAGTAATATTGTTTATCTATTTTTAAACTTTTAGTTATTTGAATCTGCATGACAGGTTTCCGAACCTTAGATGATGAGTCTCGAATCTCGACTCATTAGCGGCCTATCAACCGCCACAAACATCATTTGAACAGCGCGGGGGTACCGTAACGACATCCCGCACAGTCGTATGGGCTTATCGTTTGCTCTTCTGTTTTTTTCGCTCAAACAGCGACTTTTTTCTAGTCCGTTTTCCCCTCTGTTTTCTTCTTTCCTTTTTTGCTCCGGGGGAGAGGGAAGGGTAATGTTCATGGCGTCGACCTTCGCCGCTCGCTTTCAGGCGAAGGCAGTTGCTTGCGCCGTTTCACAGCCCACATTTCCTATTTTTCAACCACTTATTTACAATATTCCTTGAATGTATTGAGCAGGAACACTTCGGCTCTTCCGTTTCGTTTCTCTTCGTTCGCATAATGAAATGCTGATAGCGAGGCGCATATTGCGCTAAATCGTCAAAAACGAGAAGAGCGAGAATCCTTCCTTAAGCTAATTTTAGAAGAAAATAGAAACTCCTGGACATTTTTTATTACGGACGTCACCGTAAAGCAGGAAACACGCCATTTCTATGACGTCACAACGTAGATAGTAATGTACAGAAAACCGTGCTTTTTAATAATGATGACTATTGTGTGTTCAAATAGAAAGCAAGCCACATTATTAGCCACAGAGCAAAACAACTGGCACCGCGTAGTCCGGATGACCGACATCATCAAGGCAATGGTGTCGTAGTGATCTCGAACTGAAGAATCGCGGGTTCGAGATCCGCCTCGGGCATGGTTATATTTGTATTCGTCCTTTCAGCTCCTATCATCACTACAGCATGCCCTCTTCATAGTTACTATAAAGTTACAGCCAATAGTGGTCACTATTTACCTAGATATTATGCGACCTTAAATAACACAAAAACTTGTGCCGCGTGAATAAAGTGAATATTACAATAAAAATTGTAAGTCTTGTGGTCCGGATGGTTTGTGCTAACTTTCAAAAGCGTACAAAAATATGAAGGGCAAAATTATAGATTCGTTACTCATATTTTATAAGTCTGTAAGTAATTTCGAAAATTGTGTAAATCGATTAGAAATCAACTGGATACTGGATCAATATAATAATTGGTTTTCCATGGCCAGCAAGACTTTAGAAAGTCAGTGTGTTTCTCTTACCCAAAACTTATGGCAAGAAATTGACTTGGGGAGAAAGGTTCATGAGATAGTTATTGATTTTGCTAGTTATTGCTAGTTATAGCATCCTCTTGCTTTTACAATGTAGCAGAGTTGGTAAAGTTTCTAATTTGATGTTGAAACGCGTATTGATTATTAAATTTTGTTTATATTAAAATATATTACTTGCTGAATATTTATTTTCATTCGTCAAATAATCGTCTCAAATACCACTGGAATTCTAGAAATAAAGCTCGAAAATAAATTGCCTGTGATGTTACCTGAGATAAAGCAAATAAATATAGTAAATCTGAATATTGACAGGAATTGAGTGAGATGGATGAAAGAATAACTATATAAAATCAAGCTGTTAATTTTGTCAGAAACGCAAAACACCCGTTTTTTACTCGCTGCGATTTCAACACCACAATTTAATCTGTTCATACGTGACTTCTACATCAGGTAGTGACACACTCATATATGGTAAAACGAAGGCCAACTGTGTAATTCCCAAACAATCGGAGCACTGACAATACGCAATTTCCTTTCCTCGTCCTTTCTCTCTGTTCCCTTACACACACACTTATATGCAATACTCTGCCATACACCTTGGGAGACTCGACGACAGCTTCGGAGATACTTGGAGAAGGAAAAGCCGCAAGTGAACGCAGGATCTCTCATTCCAGTGAAAGGCGAGCATTCTGCAATGTTGAGTCCACTACCCACACGGCGCCAACTAACGTTCAGTTGTCGCGCTCGGCAACACAAAATACTCCAAGAACCTTCGACCCTTCCGCCTTCAGCTTACGTTTCTTAACTGGCCTTGGAGGCGATGCGATGGAAGCTGCCACGCGCGCGGTTTAATTTCTTCTTCAACTTTTGTGAGAATGGGGAAGGTGGCCGCTGGGGAGGGGGAAATTCACCTGCACACCTGAACGCGCTCCTTCAGGCTGATTTATGCGTCTCGGACGTGGCTGAGTGTTAGTTTCGTCCGCAGTCGATGAAGCGTAAATTTAAATTTCATATGAAAAGCGCAGAACAGTTTTCAAGGAAGAAGGTGGCGCTTTTGTGTTTCGGAGCTCGGATGATTCAGAACCCTGCCCATTGGAGCAGATAAACGAGTTCGTTTGGGCTTCATCTGTTCGTCACGTGGAATGGCATTGCAAGGTAAACGACCGTAACTAAAATGTTAATACTTCGAAATATTATGCAAGAGAGAGCAGTTTCATTTCTTAATGCTTGAATTGCTTATAATCATTCCTACCTGCACATTAAAATGAATATTTATCAAGTTCTTATGTTGAATCTTTAAAAAGGAAAAATTAATACAGCGTAACGTAAAAAATTATTCAATAATTTTATCAGAAACTTGACCCTCAAGACTAACTTGTGGGTGAGTATGTAACAACAAACTAAATAATTAACTTCTTCTATGTCCATATGTGTTCTCAATAGAATGCAAACGATCCAACATTTAATTTATAAGTCGATCTTCAAACAAGAGGCTTGGAATAACTTAATATTGGCGAGGATATGCTTTGATATATTATTGTTGAATATATTCTACTTTCTGTTTTGAAATGTCTAGCCAAAATAATCTCCAATACTCTAATTCCTTAGATATTACGCATATATCACATTTGCGGCAGATATACTAGGCAATACACACTTTCAGAAGTTACACTCGTCGCATGTTTATGATTTTTTTCAGCCCACATTCATGTCGGTTTATTTGCCTTTATACATCTTTCTTCCTTGTCTACGCCGAAAGCATTCGTAAAAGAGAATGTATTCCTTTTTTCAAGAACCTTTTATATTCTTCATAATAAATTTTATCTCAACTCTTCAGCTGCGTTATGCCTACTAGGTTCTCACGAGCGATGTACGAACAACCTGCCCTTTTCTTGACGAAGAATGAAGCGTTCGTTTTCGGAATGCCATTGAAACACAACATATAGAAACATGACTGCCAAATGCATCAGAATAAATGAGACATAGTAAAATAAAATGACAAATGGAGACGTAAAACGTTAAATTAAGTATTAGGGCTGTAAAGGTCATTCCACCTTCTCCCACTCGCCGCTTTCTCTTTCTTGATTCCTCTCTCTCTCTCTCCGCTTGCGCATGTAATTTCCTTTTCTACTCTGCGGGGCGCAAGGCTTCTGTCAGAGCACATCTACCGCTGAAGCAGGCCTCTCCAGCGCTACAATATACGACGCCGCCCCCGCACTCCCTCCCCCGTGGCCGCGGGCGCGGCGGCAGGTGACAGTGGGCCGGTGCAGGAGCCAGCAGGCTTTCGGTGGCGAAGCGACCGAATTGCGTGGGCCTAATCACTTCAGTATTTTATCACCATATTGCTTGAGAGTTGCAATAGCGGCAAAACTAAAAAAAAT